AGGGTTGTTTTACTCCCAAAGGGGTCTCAACCCACAGGTTGAGAAACTGCTGATCTAGAGCCTTACTTACAGTTCTGCTGATAACCAGTGATCCAACCTCCTCCAACATCTGGCGTGTATCTCTGTCATGTTTGTGACTTTTGTCAACCCTACTTCTACAGAGTATTGTGTATATGCTCACCTGTTCATGTGCCAGTCTTCTACCTTAAATTACAGGTTTCCACAGACTACAGCCCACACTTGGGTACAAGGTCTTGTGTATAGTCAGAGCCTAAGAAATAGGGGCTGAGGGCCAAACTCCGTTGTAGAGCACTCTCCTAGCATGTGTCAGGGCCCTGGGTTCTACCTCCAGCATCACACTCATAAAAAGGGAAGAAATAAATACCACTTGTCACAGCTAACAACTTTTAAAGTTCTTATAAATTTATTACATTTATTTATCTGTGTGTGCATGCATGTGGGCCAGCCAGCCACAGCAAGCATAGAGGTCAGAGGACAGATGGCAGGAGTTGGTTTTGTCCTGAACTATGTGAATACTAAGGATCAAACTGGGGTCATCGGGCTTTGTTGCAAGCACTCTTATGCACTGAGCCATCTCTGCTGGCTCCTAAAGTTCTTATGATTTTAAACTTTAATAATTAATTTTAATAACTACTTCAATAATGAATAGTTTTCACAACTTTAAGTAATAATTAAGAGTTGTAATAAGCTTAATTAAAGCCTTAATAACAAACTTTAACAACAAACTCAGGCACTGACAAGCTAATGTCAAGTGCTCCAGGAGTCGGGGACGCTGCCTGGTAGTAGGCTGCTGGCTAGCATGTGAGAGAGGCCCTGTGCAGATCTCACGCTACACACTTCATTCCAGATATTCCGAATGGTAACATACATATATGCTATTAAATACTTAAGATCTGACAAGGTGTGAAACTTAAGAAAAAATGTAGCTGGGCACAGTGGCACATAGTACCAGCATTTGGTTTGGGAGTCAGAGGCAGGTAGATCTCTGTGAGTACAAGGCCAGCCTGGTGTACATAGGGAGCTCTAGGCCAGCAAGAGCTCCAGAGTAAGAACTTGTCTTTTTTTTTTTTTTTTTTTTTTTTTTAAAGTGCTTTCAGGAGCTGGTTCAGTGAGTCAGGCAGCGGCAGCCCAGTGGCAGCTAGAGCCTGGTCCCCAGGACCCCTTCTATCATGTGGCTAGAGGGAAATAACCGTGGGACTGTCCTCTGACACACAGCCCCTCTATGCAGGAGGCTGACGTGGGAACACGATCCCACAGACCAGCCTAGGAGACATAAACCACCATCCCATTGTTTTAGTTACTAAAGTTAACAGAAATTTACCAATATCATTGATTCACCCTTTCAAGTTTCTCTAATTCAAAGATGAATTTTCATAGCTAGATTTATAGGTGAATGTTTTGGGTAGATTTAAAAAAAAACAAAAAAAAAAAACAAAACGCTCTCAGAAACGAGAAGGTGAATTTTTTATGCCTGGGGCCTCAGACCCAAATCATCTGTGTACAGAAAACTCTATTTGACTTTTGTTTTTTAAAAAAAGGGCTGGAAAGGTGGCTTGGTGGTTAAGAGCACTGACTGCTCTTTCAGAAGACCTGGGTTCAAGTCCTAGCACCCACATGGCAGCTCACAACTGTTTATAACTCCAGTTCCAGGGGATCCGACATCCTCACACAGACAAATGTGCACATACAATAAACATAAAGTATTTTTAAAAAGTGGGGGAGGGTTGGAGAGGTGGTGTAGTCACATCCTGAGCTTCCAGAGGACCTGAACTCAGGTCCTGGCATGCATGTCAGGTGGCTCAGAGGGAGAGGGTACCTGCACACATGTGCACATATCCTCACACAGATAAATCAAAATAAAACAGCATCTTCAAAAGTTTGTCTTGGTGACTTTTTATTATTTTTGGATGGGAATACATGTGCCAGACGAGAGGACAACATGTGGGAGTCAGTTCTCTCCTCAGGGCCAGTGGGGTCCTGAGGCTCAAACTCAGGCCACCAGTCCACAGGTGCCTTTACCTGCTGAGCATCTCCTGAGCCCTGTATCTGCCTTTAAATGCCATTTTCAGACTATTTCCCCACTCAAAATTACATTATTTACTTTTAAAATCCTAAATTTAGAGTGTGGCATATGCCTGTACTCCTAGAATTCAGAAGGCTAAGGCACAAGGATTGTGAGTTCTAGTCCAGCCTGGGGCTAGATGGTGAAACCCTATCTCAAAAGAAAAAAAAAAGAAAAATCCACAGATAAAAGAGAGTAAGTTAAAAGCCATATCAGAGACTACACAATCATGTCCCTCAAAAGCAATGACACAAAAGGAATGATTATTTAACACAAGGGAAAGATGCAAAGGATACCTGGCCCAGAGATCCCCTCAAAAATCTGACAGCCCTGGGATCTGTTTGTTTGTGAGGTCTTCCTTCTCTTGGAAGCTATGAGAACTTGGGGTTCTGAGAAACACATTGGCAAATGCAGTTGGTGGGGGCAGGGTGTGCAGGTGAATGCAGTGACCTCTGAGGTACTGTCCTTTAGTAGTAAGTTCCCATCCAAGTGCTACAGAGTTGAGAGCAGTCTGATTTCTCCTCTGAATCCCACTCCATCTCCACCTCCTGTGCTACAGCCCTGCTTGTAGCATACCAAGAGCAGAGATTCTGGTCCTCACACATTCAAATTTTTCCCCAAACTTCAGTCCCCTGCCTCCTGTGGGGCCTATTATAGTCAGATATTAACTTTCCAGGAACTTAATCATGTTACAGGCCTTTTCTTGTATGACAAGTCCAATGCTAGTCATGAATAAGCAAGTTTTACAGAGGCTGGTATAATTTATAAAAAAATAGTGACTCCACATCCAGAAATAGGACAGATGTGGCCTAAAAGAGGCATACCATATATCTGTCAAACCCCAGGTCTCCTGCTACAAACAGCACATGACCTTTTCTTCAGCCATGTCAATCAATCATATTAGAGACTTGATTGACGCCAGCGCTTTGACTTGACAAGGTTTGCTACAACAGAACAACTGGAGGATTTCCAAAGAACCAAATCCAGTACTGCCCACCCTCCACCTCCCACCTCAGGACCACTGACACCTCCTTTCTACCATTTGCAAGCCTCTATCTCTGACCATTTGAGAAGGCTTCAAGGGTCAGAAGGATTGAAATGGTATTCACTTTTCTTTTTTAAGAACTGTGGGGATATACTAGGACACTGGTGGCACATGCCTTGAATCCTAGCACTTGGGAGGCAGAGGCAGGAGGATCTCTGTGAGTTCAAGGCCAATCTGGTCTACAGAGTGAGTTCCTGGATAGCTAAGGCTATACAGAGAAACCCTGTCTCAAAAAACAACAACAAAAACCCAAACAAACAAACAAAAAGGGTTTGCCACAATTTTCTCTTCTTGAATCTAGTTTCAATGACATGAATCAGCTCCTACTGGCCTGAATTGTACTTTAGAAATATGGGCTGAACATTATCTTTCCAAATGAAAGTGCCAAGACTGAAATACCCTGTGTCCTTCCTGGGAGAATGGCACAGCTCTTGAGGAAAAGGCCATCTTTGTGTAGAACAAATGGACCGAAGGAAATCTGCTTTCCTCTCTGCCCTTCTTTACACAGTCACTGTCAAATGACATGTTTTATCATTCTAAAAATCTGGCTAAGCAGGCTGAGCAAAGAGCCCATTCATCTAGAGTTTACAGTTTTCCTACGTGAGACCTGCATTAAAGCACCCTCAGGTAGGGACCATGGGGACAGTGGGACTGTGGGACTGGCTCTGCCTTTTCCTTCCCCTGGAACCATCAGTATTCAGACTGTCCTGGGCAAGAAGCAGGGGGATCCCAGGTCCCAGAAAGACTCCACATCACTGTACAAACACAAGCTTCCTGACCCCAGGACAAGGAAGCAGGGTGAGGAGCAGACTTATAAAAAGGGGAAAAAGTCAGCTAGTGGCTGGGTAGAAGCAGGTACAGGTGGATCTCTGTGAGTTTTGAGGCCAGCTTGCTCTATATAGTGAGCTCCAAGACAGTCGGGACTATATAGTGAGACCCTGTTGCAAAACAAAACAAAACATTCAACCTCCCAAGGAGTATTTTACTCTTAAATTATGTGTGTGTGTGTGTGTGTGTGCCCGTGGGCATGTACACTTCTGAGTGCAGGCGCCACGAAGTCCCAGCATGGATCCCCTGAAGCAGGAGTCACTGGCAGCTGTGATCCACTTGATGGGGTGCTGGGAACAGAACTTGGGTCCTCTCCAGGAGCAGCCAGTGCTCTCCAACTACTAGAGAGGTGAAGACAAGAGGATCTCTAGGGCTCTGCCCAGACAGCCTTGCCTAGCCCATCAGTCCCAGTGAGATCCAGGCTCAGCAAACAAGGTGGATGGCTCCTGAGGAACAACACCCAAGGTTGACTATCGGCCTCTACACATAAAGCATTTATGTGCATATGAACACATACATATCCCTGCACACATATGAATACATGTATATACATACTCACACATATATGAACACATGCACATACCTGCAAACATATGAATACATGCATATACATATACCCACACATATATTAACATATATACATACCCACACACATATGTACACATACACACACTCACATACATATGAATACACATATACATAAACGCAAAAGACTGAAGAGACTTAGTCATGAATCATCATTAAAAACACAATAGATACTGTGCTATATAACCAGTCACTATCATTTTTCAGAGAAATTAAGTCCAAGTAATACCGAATACATGAGTTTTCATTGAGCTTATCCACCTGGGAAATACCCCGGAAATTGTATGCCATGAATTGTTCCTAGCACTTAAGAACTCAACAAGAGAAGTGGAAGCCCACAGCCCATGATGCCTCTTACACTCACTACAAAAAGCAGAAACAGGAGTTAACCTTAGGCAGTGCCTTCTGCTCTGAGCTTAGTACTTAGACCCAAGCCATCAGAGGGTGTGTTAGCCTTACTCTGGCAGGCAGGAATGTCACAGTACTTCCAGTAGACGCCGTCCTCGTGCTCTGCCACATAGCACCAGGGGCTCACGTCTCCATCTGGGTTTCTGTTGAGAGAATAAGAACACACTGATGGATGACACCGCTTATGTTTCAAGTCACCTGGCCCATTCAGTTTTACAGTGTTGAGTTCCCTGTCATTTCTAACAACTGCTGTGCATTTTAAAGCCATCTCTCATCAAGAAGGAAAACAAACTGGCCACAGTGGCTCAGGCCTGTAACTCCAACACCCAAGAAGCTGAGGCAGGAGGATTACTACAAGTTCTTACTCAGCCTGGACTATACAGCAGGACCCTGTCTCAAGCAAACAAACAAAACAATAAAACCACAGGTAACACAATCCTCCAAGCCTGGAAAAGGTATATTTAAGGAAGGGTTTAATCTCAGATCTTAAAAATATTTATTCCTTGGTGATAAGATTATTGGCAATTTTAGTTCTTTTTTTCTTCTGACTTTAATTTCTTCAGTAACGATAAAACCAAGTGTATAGTTTCTAAACAGCCAAATAAATTCACATAACACAAAGTCAGTTGGCAAGCCTACTCAGTCGAGGCTGGCTAACGTGACAGAAGTCTACTGGCTTCTCAGTCAGGACAGTGACTTCTAATGTGACAATCATGTTTTTTTAAAGATTTATTTCCACATTCCCAAGTGAGAGCAGCTTGAAGTAAACGGCCTTCAAGGTCATTTTGGTGCAGGGACATCATGACAATAAAGCAGGTTGGTTAGTGAAGCAGTTTCACAAATGACAGGGGAAGCTCCAGAGAGACAAGCCCGCCTCTCTTCACCCCTTCTCAGGCCCCTTTTATTTAGACTCAGAACACTGGAAACCCGACACTCCAGTTAGGCAGGAAATGGGCATAAGGACGGCCCCCACACCCCACCCTGGTGGAGCTCTGCAGCAGACTTAGGGGCCTGAGCGGACAAGCCCATTGTGTGGCCTAGAAGATAAGCTTCCCAGGCACAAAGGATTCTTTTCTTTTTGTGCCCAAAGGCAGGTGTGAGTGCTCTTCCCTGGTTCTGCCTCTAATCTAGATACTTCAGGCCCAGCCAGGAGAAGCCTGTTCCCATCACTCAATAGTGTGTAGACATATCAGATGAGGTGGATCTGAAAAGTCGCACAAGACAAACATGGTGTCAGATGTCAACTGAGAAAGAGCTTGTACAAAGCCCTTCTTTAAACAGTACTTCCCTGGCATCTTCCTCCCTCTGTTCCGAGTCAGCTTTGATGTAGTATTGGATAAAACCTCTAGACAACAAGTGTTTATTATCAATGTCAAAGCCATTCTGAAAAGCACTGGGATAGCTTAATAAAGAGCAGGCAGACCCATCCTTACTTCTCTGCAGCACTAAAGCAAAAGGCCAGGCATGGTGTGATATCATCAACAGGAGAGGTTCAGCCTCTCTCCTTTTGAAGTATAAACCGGTAATTCAGGTCTGGTACATTCCATCAAACCAGAGGGCTGTAGCCCAAGGAGGTAAGGGGGTAAGATACTGGGGGAAGGTGCTCGAAGCCCTAGGGACAGCCCTCTCATATGCACTCCCAAAAGCCTGTGAGTAGACATGGGCACTCATCTAGTAGAAATTTTTTTCTCTCATTGGAAATTTAAAATTTACCTTAGGGTCAAATTTAAAATAGTTTGTCTGAGATTTGAGAATGTTTAGAGAGTAACAGGGTAAACTATCAGGAGACACTTCAGGGACAGCACAGTGGCAGAACATTTCCCCAGCATTGCAAAGAAAGCAAAGCAAAGGAAAACTCCTTAGGAGACAGGTGGCCATATAAGAAAACAGACAAAAACAAGCAGACAACAACAAAAAAACCCTACTCATTTCTCCACCTGAGTACCCTTCCTAACCCAACTATTCGTGTGAACAGAAAAATTAGCGGAAGGGAACATAACAGAAATGGAGTAAAGGAGTGGGGATAAGTATGTACACGCATGTTCATCTGTCTGTGCATACTCATGAATATGTGTGCTCATGCATGTGTGCATATTCATATGTGTGCACACACAAGTTTGGGTCCATGTTCACGAGTGAGTGTGTGTGTGTGTGTGTGTGTTCATGTGTATGTTTGTACATGAGTGTACATGTGGAGACCAGAGGTCAACCTTGAGTGCTGTTCTTTAGGTACAGATCATCTTTTTTAAATTTTAAGACAGGGTTTTTCTCACTGGCCTGAAACTTGCCTGGTGGCAAGCCAGAAGCCCCAGGGATCTGCCTGCCTTTGCTTCCTACTGTTGGGATTATAAGAGAATAACCATGCAGACCTCTTTTGGTTTTTGGGGGGTGGGTATTTGTTTGTTTGTTTGTTTGTTTTTTAAGACAGAGTTTCCCTGTCCTGGCTGTCCTGGAACTCTCTTTGTAGACCAGGCTGGCCTTGAACTCACAGAGTGTTGGGATCAAAGGTGTGTGCCACCACCTCCAGGAGCAGAGCTTCTTAAAATGTGGGTTCTGGGGACTCAAACCCAGCTCTCTGGATGAGCACTTTTCCAAACTATCTCCCAAGTGTTGTTTTTAGACATTCATTTACTTATCTGAATGTAAGTGTTTGCACACTTGTATAAGGAGCTTCTGCATGGTACACATACAGCGCTTGTGGGAGTTGGTTCTCTCTTTTTGCTACTGGGTTCAGAGTATTGAATGTAGGTCATCAGGCATGGCAGCAAGCACCTTTCCCCACAAACTCATCTTAGCAGACTACAAGTTTTTAATTTATAAAATTTAATTTATATACAATCTTTGGAAATAAGTGAAGAATTGATTAATGAGCATAAGTAACCCTAACAAAATACAAAGGACAGGAAATAAATAGATGGCTTCATGGTTAAAAGCACACACTACTTTTCTGGTGGGTCTGGAGTCTAGTTCCCAGAATCTATCTTGGGTAGCTCACAGTCCTCTATAACTACAACTACAGGGGTTTTGACAATTCTTGCCTTCTATGGCACCTGCACTCATGTATAGACCTACACAAACACATATACACACAATTTAAAATAATAAAATATATCTTTAAACAATACAAACAACAGCCAAGTGGAAAGATGGCACACATAATACTTTGAGGCTTTGCCAGGCAGGGTTCAGGGAGAGAAGAACATCAGTAGGACTATCTAAACACTAAATAAAGCTTTTACTTTATATTGGTTTAGGTTTTTGTGACATGATCTTACATAGCCCAAGCTGTCCTCAAACTCATGATGTAGTCAAGGATGACCTTGGACTCTTTCTATAACCTCTCAAGTGCTGAGATTATAGGTATGCACACAACCATGCCTAGCTTGTAACAAACTTTTAATGCTTTTATAGTGACAAATGAAAAGCTATAGCAACAGCAAACAAGTTGATTGATGCAAGTTATGTTTGAGGTGATGTAAAGAGCTGAAGGGAAAGGCAAAAAAGACATGGAATACAAGCCCGTAACATCAAGACAGCTACAAAGGCCTGGAGTGTTAGTTTGGGCATGTGGAGGATGGAAAGCAAACAGAGTGGCCCACACAATGCAGAAATATATGTGTTGGTTCAGCTGGGTCAACAGTGCCCTATGGTTAAGATGTTCATGTACCAACAAACCAGAGTCACAGTGTGGAGGTCAGAGTAGGACTCTGCAATCATTCTTTCTTGTCCTAATGGTGTAAGAGGCCGCCTGTGCACCTGTCTCAAGAATGGTTAAATTCAGTACATTGCTGAACCATGAGTCATTATCACAACCTTGGTATAAGGATCTGAAAGTTATAATAAACAAGGCGTTTGGAATGTCTTCTCTGGTTTCTAAAAACTTGTGATTCTGTTTTAATCTCTCTCTCTCTTTCTCTCTCTCTCTGTGTGTGTTGTATACATACATGTATGTGTGTTTGAATGTGTGTGTATGTGGTGGTGTGAGGTTGGCTTTGAAGGCTATTTCCATTGACCTTCACATTATTCATTGAGACAGTGTCTCTCACTGACCTCAATCTAGTCACTATGGCTAGTCTAGGTAGCTACCACAGTCCTGGAATTTCATTTCTGCCTTCTGAGCACTAGAATGGCAGGTGGGCGTTCACAATAACCTAGCATTTACTTGGGTTCTCAGGATCCCAACTCTGAACCTCACTTTTGCACAGGAGGCAACTTAACCATTGGGCCACCTAGTAGTTCTCAACTTGTCTTCAATCTTAGACTGAGAACCTGATCAAAGCTAGAGCTCACCTCCCAGAGAAACATAAATACACACCCAAAGACCATGGGGTGAGATCAGAACTCCTTGCTGGAGCCCATAGTAGTATACACCTGCTGCTCAACTGCTTGGGATGCTGAAGAGTAGAGTTACTTTAATCCAGGAGTTCAAGTACAGCCTAGACAACATGGTAGACAGAGGTTTGGGTTCCAGATAGCTGAGCATCTTCAGCTTCTTTGATACCCATAAAATGCTCACTGGTGGGAGAACCGCCTGAGAAAATCCTCCCAAAGAGACAAGAGAGGGGCCAGATAGGACACTGCTCTGAAAGTCAGTATGGAAGCAAACTCAGCTGGAGAAAAAAGAGAGAGAGAAGAAGACAAAGGAGGAGGCTGATTCACTTTTATGTGATTTTTATTTCTTGGGCGTATTTCCCTACATGTTTGTCTGTGTACCATCTGCAGTGCCTGCAGAGGTCAGATCCCCCAGAACTGGAGTTACAGACTATTCTGCACTGTATTATGGGTCCTGGGAATCGAACCTGGGTCCTCTAGAAGAGAAGCGTGTGTTCTTAACTACTGACCCATTTCCCAAGCTCTGTTAATTCATTTTTAAAAGAATGATATGGTTCTCTGAGTTGACTAACGGGAGATAAGGAAGTATTGCTAGTTATGAGAAGGGCTGGAGGTGGCTCCATCTTACCTGCAATGGTTGTGTTCGCCCAGACCACCTTCCCCATTTGGGTATTTCAGCGTGTTGTATGGATGCTGGAAAGTCTCGTTCCAGAACAGACATGGCTTCCCGCCCTGCAGTGCTGTCCAGCTCTGTGTTCCCCTATAATCTGCACCATTGGCTGTGAAACACTCTACAAGAAGGAAAAAACAGCATGCTAATTTTCTGGCAACATTTACAGTTTCCTCCCTCTCTGGTGAATATTTTATTTGTTTTGTTTGGACCAAACTAGAAATGGATTGTATTTTGCAAGATCCTGGGCGGCCCACTGGGCTGAGTGAATCTGCAAAGAGATTCCCTACCATGCTGGGCAATGCTGGCACCAGCCAGTTGGGCCACTGGGGGACTTCCCCTTGAAGTCTACAGGTCCCAGTGAAGATATAAACTTGACACTGAAATACACTGGAGCTCATGAAGTGAGCCAAGAAAACCCCAAATCTAGAATAGTTGCTAACAGCCATGCACATGGAATTCTGGGCACTCGAAGGGGGCCACTACTCTAGCCAGCATCTCTGTGTGGTAACTAGAACCAGGTCACCAGCTGTAACTGAGAGCTCCCCTACAGTCTGAAAGGCTGCTCTGACACTTGGATTTAATAAGGCCATCGGATACAGCAATGCTTTGGAATCCCAATCACACAAATCTGGGAATGACTCACATTCTCTGGTAATGAGGACCAGTCCTCCCTGCCTTGTCTGAGGTGAAACAAAACTGGGGGAATGGAGGGCAGGGAAGGCACTTTCTCTCACCTCCTCCTGAAATGCTTTCCTAGAAAATGTGTTGAATGGTCTCAGGTCCCATTTCATGAAATGACAGATCCTTGCAGGTGTAATCATGCACTTCTAAAATCTACTTCTCAGACGCTGGGGGATGGGAACTGAGGCTGACAGGCTTCCTCCCACATATTGTATGCATTACACTCACAGAGGTTCATGAGAAAGGCAGAGTACAAAGAGCAATTTTTAAAATTAGCGTAGTTGAAACTGACAGATAGAAGCACTTCAAACACTTCTTGAAGATGTATCACTAGAACCCTGACAGTCTGGGGGAGTTACCCCGGCATTCTTAGCTTTCCTCCGTCCTTTTTCCTGGCACATAGTGACCTGTCGCTTCTGGTAATAAGGATGTGATGCTGTCTCCCACTGGGCAGTGAGCATGCCTGCTTTAGACTAGTAGGCATGTGGACAACAGGATACTGCTCCGTTCTGAAAGACATTTCTCTGACTACTTAGAGACCAAACGTCTTTCTTCCAGTCACACCTTCCTACCACCAGCTAGGCTCAGTATTTTATCTGGAATGGCACTATTTATGGGCAGCTCAAATAATGGGGTATTCTCGGAGACCCATAAAACCATAGCAACTTATCATGCCTGGTGCAACATTAATATGGTAAGTGTGAGCCCCCAAGTACCACGAGGGCATCAACACAAAGCTCAAAGGCACTAGAGGATGGCAGCTTGGCACAGAGTGACATACACAGAACCAAAGGCTCGGCTTTGACTCACTGTCTTGGCTTGTTGCTGATGTGGATAAATGGCCACCATCCACACCAGTTCTAGTACTCATGTTGTGTTTAAGTGTGTACCACGCTGTTTGATCACACTGCTCTTCACACAGGAGGCGGCTAGAGCTGGATAGGTCTGCCGGGACTCCAGTGGAAGTGCTACAGTGTGTCCTTCCTCCTGGCTTCTCCTTCACCCCACTTCCCTGCTGACTTCCTGTGGCTCCCTTTCCCCCTGTCTTCAGCACCTCTGCTTTGGCTCCACTGGTCATAAGGGAACAGTTTAGATCTCAATGCTGCCTCCTCAGCTCTACAACCCACTTTCCACACGGAACTCAAAGGTCCCAGGAGAATGAAGGTTTATCTTGCGGGTATTTGCAAGGCCTCCCTGCTGTAAGCCCAGCTCATCCCTTAGTCACTCACTGTGGTCAAACCACACTAGCCTGCTTTTAATCCTGGGAACACACTTTCCCATTTCCTGCCCAAATGTTCTTCCTCTAATATTTCCAGTTGCAAGATAAACATTGCCTCCTCAGAAGCCCCTTCTCATCTCTGCCTCTCTTTGCCTCCTTCCTTTGTCCCACAGTACTCACTACCACTAGGGACACACATACATCAGTCCTAAACCCAGGTCCCACATGCACCCATATCTTCCCTTCAATACTCCCTGAGCAATATGGTCTCACAACTACTCAAACTGAATTTTAATCATATTGGCATTATAAATAATCTAAAGGTGACTTAAAGCACATGAAGGGGTGTACAGACAACGTGCAAAACAAGAATGTGAGTATCTGCATTTTGGAGTTCTCAGAGACCTGGAACAACAGTGCACAGATACCAGGAGCAACTATATTTGAAGGGATGGGAAGAGAGAATAATGTGTGTGGTGTGTTTCACATCAGAGCTCTATTCCAACCTAGGTAATTCTGCTGACTAATCAGTTCTGGAGTCACAAGACTAGATGATTCTTTCAATTAATTAATTTTAATCAGACTGGTATTTATTTATTTTTCTTTAATCAGACTGGTATTTATTTATTTATTTTTATTTTGCTTTTTTGTTGTTTTTGTTTTTTGAAACAGGGTTCCTCTGTATAGCCATGGATGTCCTAGAACTAGCTTTGTAGACCAGGCTGGCCTCAAACTCTGTCTCCCAAGTGCTAGGATTAAAGATGTGAGCCACCACAACTGGCTTTCTTTTTTAAGTACTAGATAATTCTATGAATATCAGGCCAACCTCTGTGAACTGCTTTCTGCCCTGTATAATCTTATACATCAGAGCATAATGAGCAGGGCTGGGTGTAGTATCCAGAGTGTCCAGTATCTAGAGGCAGAGGGGTTTCTGAGAGTTTGAGGCTAGCCTGGTCTGCATAGAGCATTCTGGGCCAGCTGGAGCTATGTAGTGAGATTCTGTCTCAAAACCAAAACAAAACATATTATGTTGCCTACCTTAAATATAGACAACAAAAATACGTTTTTAAAAAGTGGGAGGCTAGTGAAATAGCTCAGCTGTTAAGAACACTTGCTTCATTCTTCTAGAAGACCTGAGGTCTGCTTACAGTTCCCTAACTAGGTGGTTCACATCCTGCCTGTAATTCCAGCTCCAGAAGATCCAATGCCCTTTCTGGCCTCGGCCACACATTACATATACTTATACACAAATACATATACACAAATAAAAAGAAAACCAAATCAAAAAATAAAAGAGTGATGAGGATGCTGGGCATAGTGGAATACACTGTAATACCAGCACTTGGGAGATGGAGGCAGGAGGTTCAGGAGTTCTAAGTCATCCTTGGCTACAAAGCCAGTTAAAGTCTGGCCTGGGCTACATGAGACCCTGTCTCAAACAAGCAAGCAAGGAACCAAAAAAGGCCAATGATTCACAAGCCATCAAAACAGACCTTAACAGCAACAGCCACAGCAACCTGTGTGGCATGTTCCCAAGGACTCAGATGGTTTTATTTGTACCACAAAAGAACGTGCCACGAATGGTGTTGAGATGTCATTAACGGCAGGAATGTGACAGCGACACCTTTTCTGGTTCTGGAAGTTTGTTTTCCTCAGATCTACACGTTTTAAAGGTTTTTGGAGACAGCCTCTTGTAGTTCAGGCTAGCCTAGCACTAACTAAGCACTAACTATGTAGCTGAGACTGACAGCAATAAGGTCACAGGTGTGGCAGCCCACTCTAAGCATACTAGATTTTAATTAAAAAAAAAAAAACAAAACAGATTTGCTAGTACACTATTTGTTACGGACTGAAAGTTATCTGTGCACCTTGACTTCATCAGGGTGTGGACAAGATGAGGACCCTGTCAGCCTTCTCTACTGCTATGAAACTGACATGGCTTTGTCTAGATAAGCAAGGAGAGGCTAAAACAACAAAGAAAATCACTTGGTGCCTTGTATATTCACATTTTCAGTAAAAGGGGATGAATGAAGGCAAGAGACCTAATGTCTACACCACCATTCATGAACGCATTCAACAATCTCTCAGTCCTTACGATTGCCCAGTGTGGTGGTGAATAGACAGACCACGGATTCTTGGCATTCCCATGTTAACAGGGACCATAGGTTCATAAACCCACGTCAGTATCAGACAATAGTCAGAGAAGAGTCGGTATGTGAGCAGAAATATGAGGAACCGGGGGAGAGTGGGGAGAACACGGTGGGCAGACCGTGGCCAGCAATACAGTGCCCAGAAAGCTGCTGCTCCTCCCTGGTGGGTGGGATGAGTGCACGGGACGGCAGGGGCTCGAGGGTTACACAAGACAGGCCCATGCTTGAGGGCACACACACAGAGAAAGAGAGAGAAAGCAAAAGAGAGGAGGAGGAAAGGGAGAAATAAAGCAAATTGCTCTCTGATCAAAATCTAGCTGTCAATATAAAACACACCTTCATTTATATATGCCACTTAGCTTACATAATTTAGTAATTATACTTAGGAAGAAAATACAAATTAATACAAACACTGCACTGCAGTCTGTGTTGTGTACATGCATGTGTGGTGTACGTGTGATGGTTGAAAGATAACCTGTCACACTTGGTTCTCTATTTTCTCCATGTTGGTCCAGGGATTAAAACCAGGTCATCAGGTTTAGCGGCAAGTACCCACAGAACCATGTTACCAGCCTTTCTATTCTAAAAATACCCATGAAATTTGGAGGATGGATAATTTACACAACTACAAAACTCTTACGATTGAGAGGAAAGCATGTCAGTATAACGAAATGCACCTACAATACTCCATCTCAGGCTAAAGTGGTACTTGAGGGAACATCTTCCAAGCCCGTGCTGCCAGGCAAACTGCCCTTTGCCTTCAGATACACCACAGCACCATGGGCAGTTAAGAGTAACTGCGGGAAAGGAGCATGTGAACTTGTGAATCAGTGGGTCCCAACTTTTTTCCGTAAAATGCCACTGAGGCTACAGCAGGACACCTCTCAGAGTCCACCAGCTGCTCCCCAGGGCACAGACATCTATCTGCACTCTTGTGGAAGGAGGGTATCAGATTTACAGGAGAGAGGACTTTAAGGGGACAGAAAGCCCTCGACACATGCAGCACATTGAGAGCCACTAGAATGAAAAGAAAATGACACCAGGATAAATGGCTGGCACTGCATGGTT